CAAATCCACTATAACCCTCATTTCCAATTCCACCACGGACCCCAACCAATCCCACCTCAAACATACACGCGGAACCGGCCTTTTGTAAACTATGGTTACTGTCCTTGGGGGCCTAATTACGGCTACCAGCCCCCGCTCGAGTGCCATGGCTGCTGCAACCATCCTTATCTCCCGAGCCAATACCCGTATGGGTCCCCCTACCCTCATCATTTTCCAGTGAATTATCCTTCTTTCCCGGTTCACTACATGCCTACTCCTCCTCCTCCACCTCAGCACCCACCGTTTTACCCGATGGAACAACCTCGGTATGAATATGATAAGAATGCTGGTATGGGTGGTAATCATTGTTGTGGGTGTCCGAATCACATGTCCCATAAGAAAGAACAGCCGGGGAGTGTAAGGATTGAGGAGGAAGAATCAGAGGGGGAAAGGAGGAGGAACGAATCCCCGATTCCTCTTCAGTTGAGGAATGGTTCTTATCCCATCGTGTGGGTTCCATCTGATTATAATAGCAAGAACAAGCAGGTGAAGGAGGATAAGGGTAATGATGATAAGTATGATAATCGAGTGGTTTGGAAAGATGGTGGGGAAGATGGATGGTACCCGCTTGATTTGAGTAATTTGGTTTCTTCCAAGAAGCGGGTAGGGAATGAGGGAAGGAAGAAAGGGCAAGGAGATGAGGATGAAGGCAAGGGGCACTTCCCATTTCCGTTGTTCTGGATACCCTATAACCCTGGAGAGACTGAGAAGGAAATGGGAAAAAATGAGGTGGATTCTTCAAAAGCAAAACCAAGCATGGATTCGGAGAAAAGGTTTCACTTGATGGGAGATGATAGTGGCGGGCGAGATGCTCCCAGGGTGAAAGACATTAAGGTTAAGGAAGCGGAAAAGCACAAAGAAAATGAGAGTTTGGAAAACCAGGTGAAAGAAAGAGTGAAGGAAGGCATTTATCATGGTGAAAAGAAGGTGGAACATGGGGAAAGTTTATCTAAAGATAACTTGAAAATGAAATCGGTTTCTCCACCTAAATCACCCAAGTTGCCGCCCGTCTGTCTGAGAGTTGATCCCTTGCCGAGGAGAAAAGCTGCGAACGGGAACTCAAGATCTCCAAGTCCTCCTGGTGACAGACAGAAGCCCGACTTGAGGCCCGATGAGGAAAAAAGCAAGGTTCTTAAAACATCAGACAATGTAAAAGTGGACAAGAAACCTACCAAGGATTTCACTGAGGGCAAGAACACAAAATCAGTTGAGGTCTTTAATGGAGGAGAACTGAAGAATGTGGATGTGAACAAAGGAAATCCTGTGAGCATCCCCGTTAAATCTGAGGATGGTTTTTCGAGCAAGAGATCTGAGGAAACGCCTAAAGAGGATGATATGTCTCGTGCTCCGACTGAGACTGATGCTGTAAAAGGTCAATCAGAAAAGGCTGAACCTGGCAGTGGGATGAAAGAGGTAGAGGATGCAAAGGTGACCAGTACGAGAAAATTGTCTGAAGAGGAAGCAGCTGTCCTTATTCAGTCGGCATACCGGGGGTTTGATGTTCGGAGGTGGGAGCCCGTTAAGAAGTTGAAACAGATTGCCAAAGTGCAAGAGCAGATAAATCATGTGAAGAATATGATTCAGGAAATGGAGGCATCTCCCGATGTCCATGGCAGTGGCAAACAAAGGAACATTATTTCCGAAACTATAATGAGCCTCCTGCTAAGAGTGGATACCATTCAGGTATGTGAATGAACTCAAATGAAAAGGTTTTGGATTTTCTATATGCAGTTGAACATTTTCTAGTCTATTCTTTTCATTCTTCCTTTCATTGGTGCAGATTATGATTAATTTCTGTTACTCTGGTTTCAATGATTTGATAGCTAAACTATTAGCTTGTCCATAAAATAGAATGGAACTTAAGCTAATGTCATGATATTCACTATGCAATGGATCTTGTGCAATTTATTGTTCTTGTTGTTGTTATGCAAGGGACATTTTGCTTCATTAATAGTGTCTTTTTCTAGGTAGTAATTAACACCAGCATTAAAATACTGGAAATTTCGAACTTAAGAGACTTTGGTGTTGTTGGAAGTGGTCTTCATATTATGTGCGCGCAAGTGAACAGTTGAAGCTGCCAGTCATAAGGATGAAGCGATGATAGCTAACATCTTTTTTGCTATTTGTTTTTCATTATGTCCAGGGATTGCATCCTAGTGTCAGGGAAGTCAGGAAATCCGTAGTGAAAGAGCTCGTGAATCTTCAAGAGAAGCTCGATTCATTAGTGAACAAAAAAACAGAACATCCACCTCAAGAGGAATCAAACCTGAAATCCACAGAAGATGCTTCAAACAAAACTGAGGTGGATGTTAACTTTTCCAATGATGGCAACAAATCCACATCTGATGTACCAGTGGCAGCTCAAAACCAGCCTGATGGCGAAGAATTAAACTCTGAAAACTTGCAAGTTCCAGTTATGAATCTGGACCGAGCGGAGTCCGAGGAGACACTCATGAAGGGAGACGAGAAGATTATTAAAGCAGAAAACAAATTTAGCAATCAAAGGAGTGAAAATGAGGACAATCACGAGGTATTATTTCAAGAAGATGTGTCTGAAATTCCAGTTACGGAAGAGGCTTCAGAGAAAATAACAGATTTTGTGCAGTCTGAGGCCGACAAGCTTGCTACTGAACTGGATGAGCTTCCATTAGGAATTGTTGATGATCTGTGTGTTAAGGAAAGCTCAAACCAGAAATTGGACGTTACAGACATGAAGACAGCCTGTGAGGAAGAGCAGCCAGAGGAGCAAAAGGACATAGACAAAGCTCTAGAATTACACAATGATGTCACTGACAAAGAAATTCACGAAGTTAATGACGAAGTTCTTCCAGCCAGTGAAATCAACACTAGTCTTGAAATGGAGGATAACAAAATCGAAGACGAGAAATCGGAGCCTGAAGTGATTGCTGCAGTAGCAGAGCAACCTGTAGCTCCAGAGGAAACTATGATGGTTGAAGCTACAAATAAGGCAACTGACACGCACGAGAATTTGGAAGCCTTCAAAGGAAATGAAAATGTAGACGAGAAGGAAGACAATGTGGACGAGATGGGTGCAGTTGAAGTTACAGACAAGGCAACCGACACACACGAAAATTTGGAAGCCTTCAAAGGAAATGAAAATGCAGACGAGGAAAAAGATGCTGCTCCGGACGAGATGTGCATAGTGCCCGATAATGGCAAAAATTTGGAAGCCTCAGGAAATGAATATGCGAACGAGAAAAAAGATGTTGTTTGGGACGAGACGCCTGTAATGCTTGATAAAGTTGAAGATGATTCGATGGAGAGCAAGAGGAAGCTGATTGAGGAGAATGAGAGGCTGAGGGGCATAATGGAGAAGTTGATCCAGTCGGGACAACAACAGCTTGCGGCCATTTCCACTCTTACCGGGAGAGTGAAGGATTTGGAGAGGAAATTGTCGAAGAAAAGGAAAGTGAAGGTGAGCCACCTCAAGAACAACAAGACGAGATCCCTTGTTGCACTCGAGGACTAATCTGGCTATATGCTAATTTAGATGATGGTGTTAAGAGCTGAATGCGTTCATGTTTTGTGTATGTGTGAGATTGTATGCAGCTTGTGTCCTGTAAACCTGTGTATCATAGTAAATAATGAAATCCAATAAACAGAAATTTCCATCCACTTTTTTTTTTTTTTTT